GGGGAGCTTATTTAATTTTTCCCAAATCGTGGCCTGGATGAACATTTTTTTAACACATCATCTGCACGTAAACAACAACATAAGGTGTTTATCGACATAAAAAAACTGATCCTAAAGTCTAAATCGCGGCACCATTAGAAATTCACGTGGTCACAAACTGAAATAAAGTACAAATCTAATACTACAAGACGAAAACTATACATCCTTTGCTGTCTCATTGCTCTTCCACAAAATAGGGGGAGGGGAGGGAGGCGCTTATTCGAGGGAGGGCACTAATTCGAGGATTTACGGTAACTGCTTCAAATCCACTAATCCTCGTATTCTTCTCGGCCTTCATACAGCTGTTAAAATCACTAAAATATTCTGAGAATTCCTTGGAACCCTGCATCATCCTATAAACTCTTGTTCTTAGGCAATCGTAGCTTGATTAAGAATACAACACAGACAGCGGTGGAGCTGTTACTCCTCATGATGTCTAGACATGTTACGTTAGTATACTGCTACAGATCATTTTTCTCAATCTAGGTTCCAGACCTCTAACATTTACGATATATAGTTTTCAAAATTTGTAACGGTCACTTTTGAAAATGTACGTTGACTAGCATACGAAACGTCAAGTTCTGTATTAAAATGCGCTGGAGTCCAATGTTTATCAGCGCTGTTTGTGTTATATTCTTAATCACCCTCTACATCATTATTTATCCTTTTGAGGCATTCTTAGATTCCTAGAGAGAACGAGAGAACAGGGCCAAAATGCTTAATAATTTATGCACTATTCAACCGCACTGCCCCGTATCTTCACTTCACCTCACATCACGTCACGTCATGTCACGTCAAAACAGGTCACGTATCGCTACATCATGTCACGTCACGTCACTTAGATTTAAATATAACCAAGACTATCAAACTCTAATTCCATTTCTTTCGTTTGGCATGATAATGATGAAAGAGACCCGGATGTTTGATTCGTTCCACTTCGATCGGTAACATCAGCACACGGTCTAGTAGGTCCCAGTCTTCCCCGCCCCACTTGTATTTGAAGTCCTTTGTATTCATTCCTATCGATGTGAAAGAGAGAAACACAGTTTGCAATTGCTAAAATAAGGCACAAAAAACAATGGGTAAACTATTGGAGCACACTACTTAACTAGTGTCCTTTGTTCTGTTTTAGAATATTGGACCTGACCGAGCGTTATTTTTTTATACCTCAGAGGCTTGGGAGAATTCTGAAAAGTTATGTAAACCCTCAACTGGGTCTCGCCGAGACCCAGTCGAGGGTTTGCATAATTTTTCAGAATTCTCCCAACCCCCTTCGTGTTTAGATGAGCCTATGTAGACATATAAATACTCCCCTATTGCTTAATTATCTAATGAGTCAAATTATTCTCGCATTTTTACTTATGATCAATTGGAGGAGAGCTGTATGATGACGTCATTAACATTGCTTTTGTTTCTTTATTATATCTAACAATTAATTTACGAGCTCTTGATTTCTATCGCGTGATAGCTGACGAGGGCGCAGCCTATCACGCATGGAAATCGAGAGAAAATAATCTAAGAGTTTTAGTATACATCTACTGGTCGTTCAAAACGTTATCCACTTCCAAAACGCAAAGAAGCGGCCGCTAGCTCGTTAACAAGCGCACACTGCTAGGCTACTCACTATCTACAACAGAATAGATAGTGAGTAGCGCAGCAAATCAGAGAACAGCATTCGTCATATTTATACTTATACTGATTAGACGCACGGCAACATGGAATCTATTTGTTCAATAGATGCACGGCTGGAAATTAGCGTACGTTGTGTTGCCAGCGTAGTCACCGCCTCTTCTCAGATGTAAATTTTTTAGCTTTTCATGCTATATTCTAAACCAAATAGAAGATGGTGTTCCAATGTTTTCAAGAAAATAACGCTCTTTTGAGGTCTTGAAAACTAATGAACGCACTCGCGTTCCGCTCGACCGTGCATCCAGCAGTAGAGGTTTTGACCTCAACCGTGCATTATTTTCTTTGGGACATGAAAAACCATCTTCTATTTAGTCAGCGGCATATTTGCTGAAACATATCAGATTTGGTCAATAAAGCACGCAAGGATGTGACGACGGCACGAAAAAATTGCGGGTAAAAACACAAGCCGCAGGGCGTGTGTCGCCCCCCTCCCCCTGGGGGGTTATCCCTGCATCAACGCAGTGTTTTCGAAGTCTTCCTGTTATATTCGTGCAAGAGAGCTGTGGTGTTCGATATAGAAATTTCTCATTTGTTTTGCGAAAAAGCAAGTTCTGTAACGATCTAAAGCTGGGCGCAAGAGAAAAATATACGGCTGATGACAGCGTAAGATTTTGTTATGATTTGTGACCTGAGTGCTTGTTACTCTCATAATCACGCTGTTGAGCATGCGCATTACAAGGCAGAAGAAAACAAACTTGCTTACCATAAGGACGACAACAACAAGGTTGGATAGAAGATAAGTTTAAGCGTGAAAAAGAAGTTTAAGTTGTACTCACCGCCAACTCTCTCCCAGTCTGATTTATACATCGACGTAACTCCATAGCCATCCATTTGCCAAAAGCCAAGATGTTCCACCGACGAACTTGCACAGTCCAGACGGCCAACTATAGGAAAGTAAGCCATTCTACCTGCAATGGTGTTCTGAGGAAAAAAACCTCACAGTCTTAATAGAAAACTACAAGAAAACAATTGAAACCATTAACATGGAAGACAATCCTTTAGGTCCTGTCCACACTACGCCGGAGAAATTTAAAAACGCAGTTTTATTTCTACGGTAAGGCCTACCGTTCATACTAAACCGTCACGAAAACGGAGCTTTTGGAAAATGCTGTTCAAACCGAAAAAATTTGAACGCCGGTCTTACGTTTTAGTGTGGACGGACAACATTTTGAAAACGAAGCTTTTTGAAAATCGGATGGCGTTACAATAACCATATGATTTCCCTGATTTTCTCAAACTGAAAAATCCAAAATGACCGGCGAGTGGGGCGTTTTTAAATTTCTTCGGCGTACTGTGGACGGAAAACATCTGATGCGTTTTCAGGGTGAAAACGCCCCTTTCAAATTTCTCCTGCGAAGTGCGGACAAGGCCTAACTCCGAAGTCACCTTGAGATGCGGAGGCTGAACTGAATTTGTCAACACTAAACGTATCTCGTGGTAATGAAAATTTTCTTGATAATAATGAAGAACAAAAATTTTATTAGATCCTGTTCCAGAATTAGCAATTTCGAGGTAAGTGCTAACCACCTCACATTCTTGAGTGAATCTGTCGGCCAGATTTTTCCGGATCAGGCGCAGAAACATCATGCGATAATTATTGTTTGATCACCATATCCACGAGCGCCTTATTTGTGTCTTGCCAGAGTTTTGTCTAATTTCCCAGACAGCCAAGTCGGGGCATAAAAGTGCTTGGTTAATAAGACTTCTAAAAGGTTCTACAAATAAAGTGCAGATATATAAAGTACTTACCACTCGAACACTGTCCATAATGTCTGCAGGCACATCAATATGCAGATCAAACAGGAAAACTATGTCATGCGCATTGGGGACAAGTTCAGTGGCAATGTTCAATGCAACAGTCTTGAAGAATTTCCCCGTTAATGAAACAATAGTATGTCTACTGCTGAGAAGAGATGTGTTAAACGCTTTGTCCATATCAATGTCTTTACTTTTAAAATCAACAACTATGACGTGAAAGTTCGTATCACCGGTTAATGAGCTGGCATCAGTCAGCTGACTGATAAAATGATGCACCCACTTTCCTTGCTCCTTAACAGGGAGAATGAAGTACACTGTAGCGTTGTTATTCCAGTTGACTCCTTCAGGAAGGCACAAGGTGTCATTTCCCTTTTTCTGATACACGTGTTCTGACAGTCGAAATGATTGATTGGTGTTGTCTGAGCCAAGCTCGAGGTTCAACAAGAAACGGTCACCATTCTTGGGGTCTGGCTTGTGAATCACTTTATGGATTCTACGCAGAAAATACTTTCTGCAAAAATGGAGAAGAAAAATTAACAAACTTAAAGCGTAAATCGTGTGATCAGGATTAAGAACACTTGTAAACGCTAGCTTTTAACTAGGTCCTCAAGGAACACTATCATGGCGTTTTAAGTACATTTTTGGTCAATATGACTGAGTAACTTTCTCCTCACACAAAATGCATGCTCCTAGAACACGTCATCATGAAGATATCCAGGGTCCGAAACTGCGCTTTCCTGGTCGCCAGCGGGCGATTAACTATTTCATGCCAGGATAATTACACTAACAATAACTTTGATTTTCAGCCAAATCGATTAAAATCAAATTCAAATCCGCCCGCCAATTGGTCACTTCCTTTTTACCTTTTCGCTGCTTTTGAAGTATAAAACCGATTTTCCTGTTATTATTAGGGACTTTAAGCAGCGGGAACGCGGACGGCGACGGGGACGCCGAAACCTGTGAGGAGGCTGGGGAGAGAAGGCTGTTGTGGCGGGAATTCACAAACATTAAACAGCACCGTCGGAAACCGCGGTTTCCGCACTGTCAAGCTTATTGACATTATTCGTCCTCTGTTTATCAGGATGAACTAGGATGACTTCATTGAAAGAAG